CCCTCCCTCCCTCCCTCCCCTCTCACTCCAGGGTCCTCTGACATTCTCAGCATAACTTCTGACCTTAGCGTTGGCTTAGCCACACAGTGCCCACGTTCTTGATTTGTAGGCATGGCAAGGGTTTGAGTAAATCTAACAGCAGCTGAATCTATGACCCAAGGATTTTGAGCTTTCAGCACACGCCTCCTGCCCCTCCCCTTTTCCTCTCCCCATCAAGTACTGCTGTGGGAACTCTCCCTCCTGCTCAGATCAGCATGCCATTGGCCTTGTCCCTGCCACTGGAGGGGGCAAGAAGTGAACCCACAAGCGCAAGTGACGTGAAACAGCACCCAAGACCCATCCTGCAGGGGGGGCCTCGAGTCTTATCCAGCCCTAGGCACAGAGTTTCTAAAGTCACTCACTCTGGGCACAGCTGAGCCACCCTTTCTGCCATCTTTGCTGCTTGTCTTACAGACTAACCCTAACTCCCTAGCCGGGAACCCAGAGCAGCCAGATCCTTTCTGTGGCAGAAACTGCTCTGCAAGGTGGGCGTAGCAGAAGGGAGACAGTGCAACCCAGGGTGTCTCTCCCTTGGAGCAGCAGTTAGAAATGCCTTGATTGAGCCAAAAGGGGCTTGTATGGTCAGTTCTCCTACTGAGAAATGGGCGGGATGCCCCCCAGCAGAACGCCACAGTCTCCTCAGAGTCCCAGGAGCACCAGCCTCCTTGCCACATGGCCCCTGGCCAAGTCCTGCAGATTTGCAAGGTCCTTCGGACATTGTTTGCCTGAGTATTGTCTGCATTCGTGGTGCTGTGCTTGAACCATGTGGGCATCATGGGGCCGGTCCGAAAGTGTCCATGTGACCAAGCGCCTGGAGCCGATCGGTGTGCCAGCAGCCCTGGGGCACACACATGTTCTTTGTACAAATAAAGGTCTGTTTTAGAGCTGTCAACTTCACAAACAGGAAAAGCTGCTTTCTCCTCTGAACTTAAATGATTCGGAAAATATATATACCATTTGTAAATTACCTGGACATACTCAAGGAGACAGCATCTTGGCTTGGAGGAGAATCTTTGTTTTGGAGCATTGTGTTCCTAGTAGATTAAAACATGTCCTTTGTAAAAAGGACAATGTTGGGCTGACCGAGAAATTTCTATCTGGAGTCGTGATTTTAAATGCGTCCGCAATGTTCTTTGGGTGGGTCTGGCCATTAAAAAAGGGAACAAACATGAAATTATGTTTCCTTTCCCTGGAACCCATATTAATTGCCTTTAGGACTGTCTAATGAGAGCGAAGGAGAGCTCACAAAATGTAGCGAGTAGGAGAGTCCTCCCCCAGGCCGCCCCAGGGATGAAGTCTGGCCAACCCTCCAAAATGACTTCCGAAGCTCCTTTCACCAGAGGCCTGAAACCACATGGAATGTTTCAACTCCTGGTTCATGGGATCTGGGATCCTGTAGGTCCCCATGGTCAACCAGGCCACCTGTGGACTTGGGCTGCTCTATATGCCAGCCGTGGGGTTTTGAGAGCTCCTGTTAGTAGGGGAGGCCCTACAGGATCCTGTCATGAGTGGAAATGTAGGTTCTGGCCACAGGCCCGTGGTGGCTCTGAGTGCCAGGCCCCCTGGACTCTGGGGTCACTGCTGCTCCCAGGCTTCCCAAAGAGCCCTCTGCGGCACCCTCATTTATGATTTGCTTCCCAGAATTTCCCCGTCTCAGGCCCTTTTCTGTTATTTTCCCATCTTCTCAGGTGTCCCCTTTGTTTCGGAAAAACAGCACAGGCAGAAAAGCCCTGTGTAATTGGAGCCCGGACGCTGGCCCATGTGGGCCCCGCCGGTAACTCTGTCCCCCACAGTGGGGCCCTGGCTGAAACTGTGACTCCTGATTCTCCCCCTTGCTGACTCAGATCCTCCAGTCAGCCCTGGTAAGCACCTCAGTTTCCCCTCTGTCCAATGGAAAGGACAAAATGTACTATCCGGTCATTTAAAACACTGTGAGATATACTCATGGAGAGCAAGTGATTCTGATGATGACGTGAGTGGCTTTTCCTTCTGACAGCTGCTTGCGTCAAGGGCTCTACAAACATTTTTTGGTCCATAACAATGACTCGTGATTCTAGCATCCTGGTGAAGCTGATCCAAGAATCCCCCACCCGGTTTTACTGAGACCGGTGTTGAGGAAGGCGCCAGGCAGCCGCCATGGAGCCTCCTAACCTGACCCCTCTGCCCCCACAGCTCCCCACTGGCCCAGCAGCTCTCCTTCCTGCACAGTGGCTTCCTGAGCAACCTCTACCTGCAAGAGCCCGCGTGTCCTGTGCCCCTTCTGCGGTGGCTGTTCCAGGTGAGGACCTCAGGCCTACCACTAGGTGGCGGGAGCGTTCCTGCCTACAGCCAGGCAGGGCCTGGGGGATGGGGAGGGCATTCCTTTGCCTATTCTGGTCTGGGCTGCTGCTGGGTTTGTCCCAGCTGAGGCAAGAGGCGGAAGGAAGGCCTGTGATGGCCGAGTTGGGGAGGTGCTGGGACCAGCCTGTGGTCTCAGTTACCCCGAGTGTATGCCTCACAGGGTGCTGCTTGTGCCATCAGAAGTCCTCTCTGTGGTTCTGTCCCTGCTACTCCACAGGTGCCTCCATGTGTCCCAGCTCATCTCTACTCCAAGTCACAGGGCCTGGCTCAGGGCCCGCCACAGCTTGTAGCACCCTGGAGGTGTGGGGCTCTCGTAAACTTCAGGCTGGGGCTGCTCAGGTGTTGGAGTGTTTGCCTCCCTCTGTGGAGTTGTAGTCAGCTGGGAAAGCCTGGAGCAGCTGTTGTGTCTGCCCCTTTCTTCCTGCTGGTTGCTACCTGGGCCTGAAACTTTTGCACTGAGAAGGAGAGTGAGGGCCAGCAGGGATGGCCCAGGAACCAGCTGCTGTGATCTGAACATAGGCTTGGTGATGCCAGCCTTGGCACCCACCCAAGACCATCCCTGTCTGGGAGGGCAGGTCACAAGTTCCAACTGGTCTCATTCCTGCCAGTTGGAGCCTGGATCCCAGCTGTAAATTAGAGCCAACATGCAGCCTGGTCAAGGAAGTTGGCTGCCTTCCAGAAAGAGCCCTCCAGTTCTCCCCTCCCCATTACCGCTCCCTGCCCCAGAGGGAAAAGTCACCCTTGGTGCCTGGGGCTATTGTGTGTGGCTGTTGCCCTTGTCCCTCCCCCAGGCCCAGTGGGAGTGGTGGGCCAGTGACAAGGAACAGTGTGGCCATTCTTCTCTACCCCCAGTCAGTGTAGCAGCTCTGTGCTCCATGCACAGTATGACAAAATGCACAATTGGGCATTGGGAGGCACAAAGGGCCCGTCTGAGACATCGCCCACAGAGGGTCCTTGTGTGACCCTGACACGATGTGGACTGCCTTCCCTGTCCATCAGGCCTGGGAGGAGTGAGCTAGCCCAGCCCTGTCTCTTCTCTCAGCTCTGTTACCCCAGTGGGGGACAGTAGAGCAGAGGACCCAGCTCTGAGGCCAGACAGACTCTGTGCAGTTCCACCTCTGCCACTTTCTGCTGTGTGGCCTTGGGCGAGTTATCTAGGGTCAGCCTTGTGCCTCATTTTCGTAGTCTGTGAACTGGGGCCGAGAGTCCCATATGGAGGTTAAAATTTAGTCCTGTGACCTGCCTTGTTTGGATAGTCCCCATGGCTCTGCCAGGGCCCAGCCATCTTCCAGAAGGAATGTTAATGCAGAGACTAAAGTTCTCCATCTTTAGGAAGGAGGAACCAAGCTCCCGCCCCCACAGCTGAGGCCAGATCAGTGGAAGGGTGCACTTGGCCTTGGGAGCCTGTGGGCAAGACTCTGCTCTGCGTTTTGTCTCTGGAGGGGAAGGAGGAACAGGACAGCACAGTGACATGGCTTTCGTGATCATGCTACAGGCCTTCACAGGGTGGACTCTGCCATTTCACTTCTGAGGTTTTGGTTTTCTTGAACTTGTAACACTTTCCCACAGTAACAGCAGCATTCATTCATTCGCAGACATTGGCTGAGGACCTGCTTGCTGAGCTCTAGGGATGGAAGGGTTTGAGGAATGGTGTCCCAGGTGCCTTCCCAGAGTGTGGCCATGTGCTCAGCATACTTCTGAGCCTCGTTGTTACATGGACTCTGATTGCAAGAGGTGGAAATCCAGAGGCCTCCCTGGAGCTGCTGGGGGCATTCTTATAAAGGTGCAGGGGTGGTTTGTGGGGTCCTCAGGAGAGCAGGAACTAGGATGGAGAAGGGTCTGAATCCTAGGATGGATCTCAGCTTTTCTCTATTCTGCAGACTCCATGGCCAAGTAAATTCTCAGGAAGGAGAGTCTGATTGGCCTAAGAGGGGCTAAATGACCCCCGAACCCCACCCCACCCAGCCAAAGGCAGCTAGGTGAGAGCAGGGTCACTGGGCCGCTTGAAGGCCCACCTGTGCACCTGCAGTTGACTCAGAGCTGGATGGGGGTGAGGAGTGGGGGGTGGGGAGCAGGGAAGACCTCCCCAAACATGCTCATTCGACTGTTTCTTTGAAAAGACTATCCTGAGGTCCCATGGGAACTAGGTCCTACTGCCAGCCCCCTGCCCCTCCCAGGGGCTTCAGTGGGGTGTACAGTGGACACTGGGTAAACAGACTTTGGCCTTAGTGCTCATGAATTATGTAAAATCATCACTGGAGCCCTAGTGTGCACCTGCCAGGTGAACCTTGCTGGGGACGTGGACAGAAGCAGGACGTGGGGACTGAACATATATTCTTGTTGGGAAACTCTCAAATGTCCAGCTATGAAGAAGAGTTACGAGAAGTTATAAAAGGGAGAGGAGGCCAAGTTCTGATGTCTTGGGTCACATCCCAGGAAGCTGAGTCTCAGATGTGATTTCCCAGCAGATTTCCGAGAAGGGGGGGGGGTAGGTGCATCACTCTCAGCATCACTCCCCTGGGAGGGAGGGAGAGCAGCAGGCCTGGGCAGAGGCAAAGCAAATGCAAGAGAGATCACAGCCAGTCCTGCAGGGGCTCTGGAACTGAGCCCCTTTACAGATGTCCCAATGGATGCAAGGGGTGCAGGCCCTTGGACCCCAGCCTAGACCAGTTATCAGGCAAAGGCTGCACTTGGAGAGGGGGTGTGACTTTGGGTGAGGCACTCCCCCCATCCAACGTTAATGTCCAGACAGGGACTGGCTCAGGACCCTCGGGCAGCAACAGCACCGAGCCCCTGGGGATGGAGCCTCTGTTCTGAAAGGGGCTGTGCCCAGGGTGTCCACCATAGCGGCCTTTTCTCAGTACTCAGGAGGGCCGGTTAATGGGCAGCATGGCCTGGTCTGTGTGTCCTCAGGCCGGATGGCACAGTTGGGGAGGGTGCTGTCCCATCGATTATCTCCATGTCACATAACCCAAATCCCCAGCTGGTGACTCTACAGGGTCTAAAAATGTTAATACTTTTTCTTCCCACCTTCCAAATTATTCTGGCTGAATACTTAATCAGCTGAACAGAGACAGATTAACAGGAGAAAATCAAAGCTTAATCATGTGCATGGGGAATTCACTTAGGCATGGAAATTCCAAAGACAGGCAACACTGGGTATACAAGACATGTTGGGCAAAGGAGAGAATGGGGTATTGGATTTCAGAAGTGAGAATGGGCGGTTTACAGGTAGTTGAGGAGGGGAACACACCTGGCAGGAAAGCTCTTGCTAGACAACTCAGAGACATGGGACATAGAAAGTATCTAGCTAACAGGCACCTGCCTGAAGCCCTCTTGTTTACCACACAATTCAAATTAGGCTAAGGCAGCATCCTAAGATCTTCCTGAAGCAGCTTTCTCTGTCTGAATCTCTTGGGCAGGGAAGGGGAGGGGTCAAAGGTTCTTTCTGAGTGTTTTGCTTCTTAATAAACAGCTTAAAATCAATATGCCAAAAAGGGCAGCTTCAGGATGGCAGAATTTTGGTCCCTTCAACCCTCAGACTCAAGGAGCCTTCAAGTAAGGATTCAAGTAAGGATTCCAGTGAATTTGAGTCAAGTGGGTGACTTGCTGCCCCCACCCCACCCCAGCTGTTGGAGGATCTGCATTCAGTACCCAGTACACCCCAGAGCCAGTGGTCGCAGACGACTGTGAGTTAAGGCACTGATCTTTAAATGATGGAGGCTCACAAAGACGGCCCAGCCTCTCATTGCCCAGCTGACTTTCCAGTTCTCTCTTTCCTACACTGGCCCCTGCCCTGGTGGGGCACAGCTGTGACCACAGGAAGTGGGAGCAGGACAAGATTCCCACATAGGGAGGTGGACAGAGGAGGAGGTTTCAAGGTCTGAAAGTGAATCCTGGCTTTGTGATTTACTAGCTGTGTGACCCTGGGGAAGTTGCTTGACCATTCTGAGCTTGGTTTTCTCCTCTGTAAAATGGCAGTATCCTTGTACCACATGGACTTGTGAGGATTGAATGGGATTTATTTATTGTGGAGCAGTAAAGGTGTGTGCTGTTACTCCATAGCCCTGCTAACCTGCTTTTTCTCCTCCTAGTTGCTGACATGGCCTCCAGAAACTTCTTTGGGAGCCTTTGGTCTCCTGTGGGATCTCAGTGTGGATAGACTCTTTCGTCAATCTGGTCAGTACCAGGGTGTGGGGTGAAGACTTTCTCCCTGAGCACCCAAGGTTGAGAGCCTTTGAAGTGCACAGCTCCTGTCTCCCTGGCGCCCGGGATGCAGGGGACATGCTCGTGGGGATGCTGTGTCACCAGGATGTGGAGACATCGGGCAATCTTTGTCTCTGGCGTCAGCATTAGTAGAAAGCTGAGCCAACAGGCTCTGTGGCACCTTAATCTGGCCTCAGAGGCATGTCACCGTGGCCGAGTCCAGGCTGACCTCACAGACTCTTGGGATCCCAAAACAGTCTAGAAGGCCAGTTCTTTGCATTTAAGGGGACAGTTCTTTCTGAACATCTACATCAGATCAGGGAAGCTCCTTGGGTTGGAGTTAACCAGGGGGGCCTGAATCTGTGCCCCCACCAGCAGCCTGCCTTGGCTCCTCAGGCACCAGCGGAGCCCCTGAGTTTGGTCCAGGCTGGAATGAGAGCCTCACATCTGTATCTTGGTCTTGACATTAAGGGGTGCATTTAAGTCACCTTTATACTCAAGAAGTTCAGAATTCACGGAGGTGATTGATTTTCCCTCCAGTGGTTGCGCCCCTCCCAGGCTGTCACCATTTCTTGCTTGAACACAGACACTTTGGCACCAAAAAAAATCATGTAACTTACAACAGACAGTGAGAGGGACACACAGGTGTCTAGACTCTGCCTTTGCTCACTAGCCACAGTCTGCCCACCCTCCCGCTGAAACAGTAAAGGCACAGCTCGGAAGGCCAAGGTTAGAGACCCAAGATGCACCATTACTGCCCCACCAGCCCCTTGAATTTCTGCTTTTGTGCCTCCCCTGCTTCAGGAGTTGGCTGAGCTGGGGGCCAGCTGTCAAATTAGAGCATTCCAGACTCCTGCCCCCCTCCCCATGCCTAGGTCCCCTCTGAGGTTTTCTGAATAGCGCTAGTCTCAGCATCCTCTCCCTTTTCATAACCTCTGCCCCTGGAGCCCGGGCTGCCCTTTCTGGAACCTCTGGGGCCACCTCTGCGGCATGCCTGCCCTTTTGGGGAACAGAGGCCTCCCTTGTCCTGCTCTTCTCCTCCAGGCAGTGGTATGTGTCTCCTCCTGGAGAGGCAGAGGGTGTCCCACTCTTCTCTGCTTCTTGCCACATTGTCCTTGACTCGCGTTCCATCAGGAGGGGCCAGGACGCTGCTCCTGAGTTCCCAGGTGGCTCAGCTCTGCTCCCTCGACCCCGGAGCATTTCTCATGCATCATATGAGAGCCCATCCTGGGGTTCTTGCTCCCCACCCCAGTTGGAATAGAGACTGGCCTAGAATTTCAGGCCCAATGTGGAATTTTGACCTTTTCAGAGAAAGTCAAAGGCCAGGTCCACAGAACCGTAAGCAGGGACTTGAACAGATATCTGTACATGCATGTTCATAGCAGCATTACAACAGCCAAAAGGTGGGAGCAACCCGAGTGTCTATAGACAGATAATTGGACCATAAGATGTGTATACATGCAGTGGAACATTATTCATCCTTAAAAAGGGAGGAAACTGACACTTGCTACAATGTGGATGGATGAGCTTTGAGGACATCGTGTTACTTGAAATAAGCAGACAAAAAAGGACAAATGCTGTGTGATTCTTTTTATTTATTATTTTTTTTAATCCTGAGGATATTTTTTCCATTGCTTTTCAGAGAGAGTGGAAGGGCAAGAGAGAGAGAGAGAAACATAGATATGAGACACATTGATTGGTTGCCTCCTGCACACCCCCCGACTGGGGCTGGGGATTGAGCCTGCAACCAAGGTATGTGCCCTTGACTGGAATCGAACCCGGGACCCTTCAGTCCTCAGGCCAATGCTATAACCATTGAGCCAAACCAGCTAGGGCTGTATGATTCCTTTTATATGAGATACCTAAAGTAGTCAAAATTATAGGGACAGAAAGTGGAATGGTGGTTGCCAGGGAATGGGGAGGAAGGAGGGAGTGGGGAGTCCCCATTTAACGGGCACAGCATTTCCATCTGGGAAGATGAGAAGTTCTAGAGACGGATGGTGGTGGTGGTTGCACAATGCTAGTGTGCTGAACACTGCTGAACTGTACACTTAAAAATTGTTACGATGGCACAATCTATGTTATGTGCTTTTTACCACAATTGAAAGAACAAACAAAACAAAAGTCAAGTCCAGTGCCTGGAGCCAGGTCCTGGGAGAGAGTCTACCAAAAGCTGGAGCTGAAAGTCAGCTGCTAGTTCAGGAAGCGTTTGTGAGCGTCCCATTAGATCCAGGATTGATGCAAACAGAAGTCGCAATCCCTGGAATTTGTCAACAGCTGAGGTGCTCTGAGTGTCCCTGTCATCTGTGGGAGCACAGCCCTCTGGGAAGAACCATGAGGCTACCATCCCTCCCATTTGGATCTGTAATTGTGTGTGTTTTCAAGTTGCCTGACGTTTCTCTTTTGTAAACTGGGGAGATTTCTGTGTGTGTGTATATTTCTGTCTTTTCCTGGAGTTTGTGGTGACCAGCAGTCCTTCCCAGACCATGCTGGGGAGGGTCTTATCCCACCACGCTTCCTGGGCAAGGGGAGGGCTCAGGTGGCCCAGGGTCTCTGGCGGGGCGTGGCAGCCCAGCTACAGAGCAGACTCTTCTCAGGTGTGCTCCAAGTGAGTGGGGCTGAGGACTGAGCAGCCCTGGTGCCCTGGAGTACTGAGTGTGGTGGGAATGATTTTCCTGGATTGAGAAGCATGCATAACCCCTTAAAAGCTTCTTGGAGAGCTTGGAGGGTGGGACATCCTGGACACTCATGTTCTTCATTGCAGGGGTCTTTATTCATTTATTTGGCAAGCGTGCACCGAGGCGTCTTATATTCTAGCACCTCACTCGATGGTGTGGCAGAGGGAGAGTGAGGAACAAATAAGGCAGGATTCCTGCCCTCAGGAGGCTGCCGGCCAAGTGGGAGGGGATGACTGTGCAGTTACAGCAAGAGATACGAGGGAGGCCAGGACGAAACCGTTGGACTACCAAGGAAGGGGGAATTCTAGCTGGATGGAGTTGGGGTGGGGAAGGCAGGAGTTGGGAAGTGATTTATTGAATAGGGGCCAGTGATGCATCTCTCAAAAGATATGTAGGCAGAGACTGTAAACTCAGTTGCCTATGGGCACCAAGTGAGGTCGCAACTAGAGAGCCCCTGATCTCTCTAAAGGGCTGGCAGGCCTGGTACTGGCAGATCTCTCTCCTTTTCAAGACAAACTGTGTTTTAGTTAGGATGGACTTTGACTGTAAGTAACAAATACCCACATAAGAGAAGTTTATTATCTCAAGTAACAAAAATTCCAGAGGCGGGTGGTTCCAGGGTATGTCAAACTGATCTGCACTATCAGAGCTCTGGCCTAGCTCCTGTGTCTCCTCCTCACGAGTCCCCCTCAAGGGCGCAAAATGGCTATCAGAGCTCCAGCTGTCGTCATGCTCTCATGAGACAACAGGGTTGAAGGCAGGATATTCTTTGCTTTGTTTCATTAAACAGAACTGGGTCACAGGCTTTAGAGGGCATTTCCCATATTTTCTGACTGTCAGTGCCCTTCGAACCCCTGGCTATATTTGAAGAATTTTCAGCTTCATGAATCCTACTCCTCCAAGGCAGAATCCAGGACACTCACTTTTCCAGCTTCCTTCCAAATATTTGAATTTTTAGTTTTGGAATTTCCATTTAGTTCTTTTTTTTTTTCTTCTTTCTTTTTTGTTTTTTTTATAGTTTCTATTTCTCTACTGGGATTTCTTATTTGTTCATTCAATATGAGCGTATTTTCATTGACCACCTTGAGCATAGTTATAACAGCTGCTTTAAAACCTTGTCTGTAATTCTAACATCTGGATAACCCAGTTATTACATGGAAAATTAGGTATGAAAGTGAACTTCTATTTAGATCAGTAAAGAAATCATGGACCAAAATGCTGGACCTTGCAGGGCTCGGGTCTTCTCCTCGCTCTCTTTAGGGTATTTCCCAGAAATGTTCACATATAAATGCCTTCCGACCGTGCTGTGGCTGACTTACCTACCCCAGAACTCTCACGGGCGTGCAGGCGAGGGCCCTGGAGCTTGTGCTTCATCAGCTTTATGCTCAGTTGGCTTCTGACATATAATAAAACTGTTTTCTGCTCAAACATCCAGTGCCTGTGGCTAAGAGTTCTGACTGCTCCTGTAGCCACCCTAGCCCAGGCCCTGCAAATGTCAGTGGGGTGTCATAGCTCTTCTGCAGGAGTGGACCCACTTCTCCTGAGCAGAAACCAGAACAGAACCCGGCCTCCTTTCCCAGGGAAGAAGGGGAGCAGGGCTCCTGCTTAGGCGGCCAGCTGCCACAGCCAGAATGTGGGTGTTTATGTGAAATCTCCTCGTGGTAACTAATTCAGTTAAAAAACAAAAGCAAAAACTCCCACTGTGAATCCATCTGCAGACTCTTTTGGACTGTAGATGGAATAGAGCTCCACGGTTTGAGGCCCTGGGGGGAGGATTCAGGTGCAGAGAGATATAGGGAGGCAGGGAGCAGTGGAACAAAGAAAGGGCGGGGCGGAGAGGGGGCTGCCTTCAAGGGGCAGTGCAGGAGATGAGACTGAACACTGGGGGCCAGATCTCGGAGGACAGTAGGGCCGTTGCAGACACAGTGAAGCTTACTATTTGGCAAGACCAGGACAGAATCATTGCTATTTAGATATAATCCTCATACCATATAATTCACCCTTTTAAAGTGTGTGATTCAGTGTGATTCAGAGTTGTTCAACCATCACCACTGTCTAATTCCAGAGCATTTTCATCCCCACTCAAAAGAAACTTCATACCCATCAGCAGTTAGTCACTTCTCATCCCCACTCTCCCAGCTCTTGTCAACCCCTCGTCTACGTTCTGTCTCTGTGGACTTGCTTGTTCTGGACATTTCATATAAATGGGAGCACACAGAATGTCACCTTTTGAGTCTGGCTTATTTTACTTAGCATCATGTTTTCAAGGTCCATGCGTGTTGTAGTGTATGTCAG